GGGGTGCGGGGGGCAGCGGGTGCGGGGGACCCAGTGGCCGGTGCTGCCGCTCGGGTCAGACTCAGGCACAGACCGAGAACAGCACAAAATGTGCAAGGTCATTTACGCGTTTCCTCTTCATAAAAAAATATTTATTACCATTGATTAAAAAAAAACGGCCCGGTGAGCAGCCCCCGCCCAGCCCAGCCCCCGCGCCCGGAGTGAGCCTGGGCCAGCGGGCCTGCAGGCTGGGAGAGAGCAGGACGTCCTGAGGGGGCGGGGCAGCCGCATGGAGAAGGGATGGGGGTGTCCCCCCAGCGCCCCCGAGAGCGCCCCGCGGGCCCAGGCCCTGCCCCAGGGGCTCCTCAGGCTGCTGCCGCCTCTTTAAGAGTGGACGCCAATGGACGCACCTCCCGCCAGGTCCCGGCTGCGAGGGGTGGGCTGGGGGCGGGCAGCGGCCTGCACCTGTGGCCGGCTGTGGACATCCCTGCCCCGGCCCAGAAGGGCCAGGAGGCCACTGCCCAGGGACGAGCAGTGTCGCCCGGGCACTCGGCGCAGCAGGCAGGGTCAGCCACGGCAAGGCGCGGCCAGGTACGTGTGTGGCGGAAGGCCAGCGGCCACTGAGGCCCCGGGCGTGGGGTCAGCAGGTCACCGGGCCCAGTGTTAGCAGCTTGAGGCGACTGGGTGTGGGGCACCCGCTAGGGCACCGGCCTGAGGTGGCCTGGGCTGGGCAGCCGCCGGCCGGGCAGGTAGCACCTGGGCCCCGCAGGGCCTCTGTGGTGGACGTGCAGCACCAGGCGTGGGCCTTTGGGGAGGCACCGGGCTCCGCTGACCGCCGGCGCGGGCAGGTGGCCACAGGCGGCGGGGGCACGCTCGGCACCTGGGTGAGGCCTCAGGACCCACCATGCCCCCAGTGTCCAGTCAGGCCACAGGCCGCCCTGCCCTGGGCACCGCCCGCAGCCGGGCAGGGTAGAGCCAGTGCTGACCGCTGCACCCCCGAGGCCGGGCCGGGCCCCAGGCCCGAGGCAGCACCTGCCCTGGGCCCTCTGGCCAGTGTCAGTGGAGGGGGCACAGGGAGGGTCAGAGGCGGCTGGCCGGCAGGCCCGGGGTGGGCTCAGGGCTCGGCCCTAAGAGACCCAAGTGAAGTCCTTGTCCGGCGCCTCAGCGGGGCTGTCCCCCTCGTCCTTGTCGTCGGTCAGCGCGTCTTCGTGGGTCAGCCCCATGTCCTCCTTCCACTTGGCCACGTCCTCCTCCTCCTCCTCACCCAGCTCCTCCTCACCCTCCCCGCGTGGGTCATCAGGGTCCTCCAGGTAGGGCCCGTCGCCCGCGAAGAGCTCAGGGGAGCCCTCGGCGCCCCCGCTG